GGGGGGGGGGGGGGGGGGGGGGGGGGGGGGGCAAAAGCCCATCGCCACCGTCCCCACTCGGATCCGCCTACGAGCAAGGCACTTTAAATGCAAGAATGAGGGGAATGCTAAAGTAACTATATCAATGAGAAGAACAATTCCATTAAAAATATGGATGAGGAACATGCACAACTTACTTCTGAAAGACGTTATCGTAAAAAGGGATTGTTCAACTTGTTGGCTGCATTAACATAAACACTTTTGATTTGCGAAAAAGCTTCTAAAGCAGCTACACCATTTTCACGTCCGAAACCGGACTGCTTCATACCACCAAATGGTATCATCGAATCTGGAATTTCAATTTATAATCGACTTGCCTTCATTATGAATGCTGAAGAAAAAAAAATGACACGAAATTTCCAAAGAACTATGCTAGGTCCTTTGGTCCTGAGCTATACTTCTCTGTTGTAAAACTAGCTCCTTTGGTTGCTGAGTTGAAAGTGGGTGACAAAATGCGAACACAGAAAACCAAAGATACACGGACACACACACATGCGCACACAACATACACACATACACACAGTCTTTTGCCAATATGCGTTTTTGCACTGCACAAATATGCAAAAGGAAACGAGCTAAACTGTTAATATAGAAATACTTGAAACGCGACTCACTTGTGTCATTGAATGTGTTCACGTAGACGTTCCCCGCATGAAGTTTCGAAGCAACAGAATATGCAAGATGTAGATCCCTGTAAAAAAAGACGGAGGAGTGAAAAATCCTGTTCTGAATTCTTATTTTGAAAAGTTTTTTTTAAAAGCTGTTAAAAAATTTAAGTAGGTCTAATTGTGTACTGAAAAGGAATATATATGACCCAGTAAGTCAAAAACTCATTTTTAGCTAATTATATATTTTTTTCTTCGTTGAATTTCTCTTTTTCACATTTTTACCATCGCAGTTTCCCTTCTAAACTTTATAACATGTGTAATTTCTATAATTGTTATTTATTACTGCTGTTATTGTTATTATTATTGTTATTACTATTATTACGATCATTACAACCATTATTTTCACTGTTACTGAATAAGTAATTGAACCTTGTAAAAAGGCCAGCAGCAAGCCCGTATGGCGTATCATTTGCCATCCGTATCGCATCCTGAAATTTTGATTTATATCAATTTCTAGAAGCCACATCGTGGAGGAAGGGATGGTATCATTTCGAAACGGCTATAAACTTGCAAAATGTTTCTGTTGGTGGGGAACCGCTGAGCTGGCAATCCATGCAGGAGAGAAGATGAACGTCAGGATGGTCAGCAATAAGCTGATGACCACTGGGCACTGCGCAGAACTAGAAATGCTCAAGCCACATAATTAGCGAATCAGATTACGAGGAATCCAAGTATCCCTAGCATCAGTTTTTACTGAATAGATTGTGCTGATCAAAGACAAAAAAACACACTTCCTTTGGTTTTTTTAAAAGTAGAATTCTTTATAATTTGGCGATCCTGAAATTACCGAATTTCAAAAATACGGCAAAAACCAACTTTCGGAATTCTTACCCACACGGTATAAAAAATTACCTCATTTTGCTGAAATGGTATAAGTAACATGACAGCTCCGAATACTTCTTCCTGGTAAATCCGCATATTCTCGGTGATATTGGTCAGTATAGCTGGGGACAAATAGTATCCTCCTTCGAGGCCATTCACTATCACTTCTTCCCCGCCACACAGCAAAATAGCACCCTGGAAATGAAATGTGTTCGTGACTCAATCTTCATTAGGTGTTTTTCAACAATCCCGCCAAATCTTTTGCCCTCGAATTTACCAGTGATATTCCGGGATGCAAACACTCAATCTTTAATGGGTCAGAAGCATTTCGAAAGTGCGAATTTTTGGCGAAAAATTCCAGGATATCTGAACATACAATTTTTAACATTATGCACTACCGTACTCCACCTGGACTGACTGTTACGCATTCACAAATCAAAGCTTCTCCGGATCGCTTTTTTTTTGAGAAATAAGAGTACCCCGGAAATAACTAGAGGTTATTTAAAAGTAAACTATTGGCCTATATGACTAACAGACATATGCCAGTACCAATTTACCATCGGAACGAATGAATGAATCGTAAAAGGACTGATTTTCTCACCGGCAGAATCAAACCCTTAACCAGTGGCCAGAACCGCTATCCACATGTAAAACGTAGTAATACCAAAATTTTTAATCCTAGCCCTCATGCTCGTCTCCAGCTCCTTTCAGTCTTTTCTAGCACACTGTCCTCTTTATTGTTGATGAATGCTCTTAATTTCTTTCCAAAATGTAAAAAAAAGTCAAACTTCTCGACAGGCTCCATCGATGAATGCTTTAACTTTTGACAGATGTGCTTCGGAGATGGTTGCGCCAATTTTTGTTCCATCCAGTAGCGGATCATTGGGAATTAGACCTTTCGTCAAATCCACAATCTTTCGCTGGAATTCGTCATAGATGGATTGGTGTACGAGGACTTTCGAAGCATTCGAGCATACTTCACCTTGGCTGGAAAAAACATTTTGGGGAAAAATCAATGCAACATCAAGCACCACTTCTTCCTGGAAAATTTCGCGTACCACAAGTCTCTAGTCAAGAATTTGCCTATGTGATCTCGAAGAGATACGCCAAGCATTCTTTGCTCCACTGCTCTCTCCGTCACAGCCAGCGTTCGTTCTTCAATTTTCGTAAAATGACCACGCCTTACATACATTTAATTTCCACAAATGTACGAAACTAAACGCCCTAACTTCAGATTTTTTGTACGGGAAATGTAGACGTATTTTTGACAGTAACGTTATGTAGTGGTATTCAGAAACAAAGCAAAAAACTAACGAGAAGAAATTTGCCATCAGTGCGCCTGTTAAAGCAATATCGATGTCCGCATCTTCAAATACAATCACTGAGCTTTTTCCGCCAAGTTCCAGCGTGACCGGTTTCAACCGTCCCGGCAGACTGCAGGAAGCCAGGATTTTCGTGCCAGTTTCTGTGCTACCCGTAAATGTTATCTTATCAATGCCACTATGTTCACAGATTGCTTTCCCGGTATCGCCTTCTCCCTAAAATTCATAGACTTGGTAGCTTGATCAATTACAGTTCATAGCGTGGTACTCCAACTTTTCGCTTGTTTTTTCTAGTGTTGCATCGATTGGGGGCCAACCTATTGGCGATTCTCACGTTCGTTTTCTCTTCTCAAATTTGGATTATTAAATCGGAAATCGAAAAAAATCAAAAAAAAAACTAATCAAGGAAGAAAACGCTCTTAAGCAAGAAATTTGACTGAAAAAAAAACGCTTTTAAGCAAAAGCCAGGACCAAACATACCCGAAAAAAAAACAAATGAACAGTGATAATCCACATGGAAAATTCGATATCGGCTCAAATCTCCACAAGACAATCCCTCTTGGTGGCATTAGTAATCAAAAGTGCTATCTTTATTTCATTTTGACTCATTCTTCATTCCTCTTCTCAACTACTATCCCAAAAATCATTCTTTATCCATCCAACATTCAGTGAAAGCTATCAATGAGAAGGATGAAACCAACCATTCGAATATTTTCGTGAAAGAGGAAGGGAGAAAATGCTAGCTATGTAACCTCGTAAAAAAGCATACTGATAAAACTGTGGTAACAGAAAGTAGTCGAGAAAATGTTCTTTAAAAAAATTAATTCCTGGAATGTAAAGACATCCAGAAAGTCAACGTGAGTATCCCATGTTAGTGATCCTCGAGTGAGAAATGCTCCCACATATCAGGCACAGTTACGCCAGGTCCTTCGGTGCATATCTTCAGTTAACATCCACTGCCTGTTTGATGTATGTAAGCCATCTCTTTGAGAGCCATCCGAGCAGTCAGGTTATTTTTTTTTGGGTACCACGGTCACTAATGAGCACTGTTCACTGGCTTTTTGTAATTTTTTTTGAAAAAAATTATGTATTTTTTACTTGTAAAACGGAGAGTACACCATCCGGAAGTCCAGCATTTTGCAGAATTTGCGCCAGAAATACGGCAGTTACGGGAGCAAGTGGTGATGGTTTATATACAACAGCATTTCCACACATCAGTGCTGGAGCGATTTTCCAAGATGCCGTTTGCAAGGGATAATTCCATACACCAATTGCACCAACAACACCGCACGGTATTCGTTCCGTATATGCATAATTATTGTTACCCAAAGGAAAATGGTTGCCTGCAATGACCAATGGTCACTACGGGATAATAGAGATAATGGGTCATGAGGGAAGCTAAGTTAATAAAACATCAATTCAGATGCCTCAGTACATATTTATCCCGTGGTACCGGTTGCTAGACAGGTAGCCAATGATACCTCGCAAAAGGGAGGAAGATGTTTCCTTTGTATATAGATGTGATGATGAAGAAAAAAACATCAAATAAGGGACAATCGGGAGAAATGCTAGCTAAATAAAAAACACCTGCGAGTTAAGTACCTCAATATATATTTATTCAGTGGTAACAACTTTGAGAAAGCCAATCATTGGTACCTGGTGAAGAGAGGGGCTGATTCCTCTTCACAGAAGCGGTGAAAAGAGGACGCATTTGGAATGGGAAACAACGGATCGAAGAGAGCTCCCAACAAAATCCTTGAACTCAAATTTTTGTATTTTTGCATAAATCATCAATATTTTCACTAAAACTGCAGTAGCGCTATAGCGCTGCGCAGCAAAAACGCATAAAAATTAATGAGGCACTAAAAAATTTTTACTCCATGGTACCATAAAATGAAAGATAAAAAATGGTATCCTATAAGAAAAGGAAAGCTACATCCTCCCTAACTGTCATGAGCTTCGAAACCGTGCACGAGAAAAAAGTTGCGGAATTTTTACCCAAACTCAATAGGGAGCAGAAACTTGAAGCCATGTTTTTCGGAAACTTTTAGCTGAAGCTTACCAGCGAGATTGTGTGCAGCACCACCGAAGAATTCGAAGCAATCCGCGCAGCTGGCCATATCCCAACGTGATTCCTCAATCGGCTTACCACAGTCCACCGTCTCCCAATATGCTAATTTCTCCGAACAATCCTAAATCTCGGATTAAACTGCTGAAAGTCTGTTTGGGTCGAGGCGGAAGATGTCGGAATTTCCAACTTTCACACAGAGTAGAAATGAACAGTTATATAGAATATGGAAGTGCATAACCGGAAAGATTACTTAAGTCCAAATATCGCAGTCGAGTTTTTGATACTACTGGGTTATAGCATATTTGCATGGACTGTTGAACCAGTACGATTACTAACAAGCCATAAAACAGTTGTATGGAAAAAGCTTTAAAAATAAGCTGGCAAAAATGAAAACTTAATAAATATCATTGATGGAAATCACGCACTGATGGATAGTAATCACAGTAAAATCACTAACATGGGATACCCACAATCATTATCCGGTCGGTCTTAGTATTCTTATTAAACAACAGTGAAAGATTCCAGGAACAGTGTTTGCCGACGAGTAAACATGGTACTCTGATCTTAAAAAATGTTAAAAAGTAGCCGATTTAGGGCTGAAAAAAAAACGAAGACACATGTTCCGAATTGTTCATTAATCGGCTGTGAAAAGTGACCTCAATTTTTGCGGCTATTTCCCAGCCAATGTAAGGTTTTTCGACTCAATTTTTTCTATTTTTTCTTACGCCTCCCAGAGTTTGTCATGCGTTTTGAACAGTAAGTGGTGGTACTTCGTGAAGTTCACCCCAAATGGTGTTTTGTGAAATTTTCAAAAAAATTCTCGAGGAAACCATGATAAAATGTTGATAATTGATCATAGCTTTCGCGGAAACGATATACCCGAATAATAGCAGCAGCTTTTCGCAAAACAGCACCGCGTTGTTGCGCACTGAGTGCTGCCCAGGATGGTTGCGCTTGGCGTGCATCCTTAATCGCCTCATCGACTGTTTCAATAGATGCCGCGGCACAATGCACTAGCACCTTTCCTGTAATTTAAATATCAATAATTATCAACAGTGGCGGGTCAGAATAATTCATCAAAATTTCGGAAGAACTTGAATCGGCCCTAATTTATTGCACTTCGAATTGGCCTGAATTTTTTGCCCAGTCATGCAAATTTGACAACATTTCCAGGGTTGCTTTGACCAGTGCTGCATTGTGTAGTGATCAGTCAGCCTGCTGGCAATCCTGACGATTGTTTCATCTGAGTGAAAGGATTTTATCAGTTCAACAAGCGTCCAAAAGCGAGAGCATTTGAAAAGATTTTAGCCGCTTGCATTGTTGCTGTGTGTTTACTTTCGTCTCGCCTCAAATATTTCCATTTCTTAACTACTAGGATGCAATATTCTACCGGCTTCGATGAATAAGCAACAAGATGCAACGGACAAATACACACACACACACACACACATACACACAGACAACCCTGGGACAATAAGCGTTATGTTCAACTGTTGCATAGCATAAAATGCACAATAAATTAACTTTAAAATTTCGTACTTGGAAACCATTTAGGCCTTTGAAAGCTCATAACTGAGGATATCAGTGTAGCTGTTTCAAGGATCACCAGTTATTATGAAACGAGCGTCATGATCGCCATGCCAGCAGCAGGCGATCCACCAATCTAAGGGATGTGGCATGCGATGCCAGCACTGGTCAATGTATTTAGAAAAATTGCCAACTAATCAATCATTTAATTTTATGCAACACAACTTTTTAGTTGTTGTTTAGGAACAGTAGCCGAATTTTTAAGCTAAAAAGGAATAAAACTAAGAAGTTTCGCGATTCAAAATTTTTCATTTCTCCCAAAAAGTCTGAGTTCCGAAGAAAGTCACGAGCGTTGCGACATATTAGAAGATAAACTTCAGCATGCGTTTTTTGCTGCACTTTTGCCCAGCAGATATGTGTTATCAAGGGAACGCAAAAGCATTATTTGGCTCGGGAACATAAAAATCGCTCCTTCAGGACTTAATCCAAGCCCCACCTTTTGGATATTTGGGCAGTCAGTGACAACAGCCTTCCAATCTTTCACAGCTTGTCGAAAATACCAATCGACAAAGAGATAAACCAAAGATACCAAGACCACCCCGGCTATCAGTGTGGATATCCAATGCCAACAGTATTAATTAGATACTCCGAAATGCTCGCTGTAGGTATGCCAGGCCTTTTGACTCCGCGCTGCATAGCGGTAGTTAGTACTCACCGCTTGGTCGAGGTATGTACGCTACTTTTTCGTGTGCCACCTGAGCGGTCATTTTACTTCCTTGCGGATGCCACCCACCAATTTATTACGTCTAACGTAAAACGAATAACATGAGAAAATGACTTGTCCATCGGGCTTTATACATTTCCGTTTGGTTGCAACAGATAAACCAATGTTTAAAAAAAAAAAAAAAAAAAAAAACAGTTGCAAACCATTTCGAGGTTGTATCACTTCGAATTGTTTCAAGGATTTGAGCGCCACACGAGCTCCACGTAGAAAATGCAGTGCCGAATCGACTGTTGCAGGTACCACAAACTTCGCCATTGAATAATGACAAGTTCTGGCAAAATTTGTTTTTAAATACTTAGACTGTATCAGTGTTGCCGGATGCGATCCGGGTGCACCCTGTGGTATTGGCAGTTCAAGTTTCTTGAAGTAATTTTCCCAAAAGGGCAAAATTCGCCCATCTGGACCGGTGAAATTAAGTTGATGCTGCGGGGAGAAATCTGCAATTCCGGCAAATTCATATGATTTAGCAATCAGCTGAGAGCAGTAAAAAGCTTCGTTGCCCGTAGAATCGAGCATTTCATCCGAGAAAATATCGTTATATTTTGCGCCAATCTTCGATTTTGCCCACTGATATGCGGTGGTACGTGTGGTCACCGGAAGTTGTACCCCGCGCACTTCAACCCCGGACGGTCGAATCTTTTGCATCACATCCGTCAACAACTGCTCGCAAACGCCGGATTCCGGCACAGCATGAATCAATGACCAATGGCCAACAGTACCGGAAAGTATCCCAACATGCGCTATCGGCTGGGCTGCAACCGTGACAATCGCTTCTTCGAATTCGCCATTCTCGGTTTTTTCCAAAGATTTCATGAAAAATACGATATCGCCAGCTTCAATGTCCGTTAATTCAGGAAACAGCATCGTCGTCGAGAGCTGTCGCACGGCTCGTATGGTTAGCAAGATAAGTTTCAAGGTCAGTACGGTGATGTGATTTATATATTACATGCAGACAGAACAGATGATGATGATGATGCAAGAATACCTGATACAATAATTATGCACTGGCTCAACTGGTCAGCAATACTGTATCACAATGGATCGCTCGTATATCCAGTACAAAAACCGGCAACATCGAGTCACCTCTCTTACTGAAAAAAAATTTTAGCATAAAAAAGGTGGTTAAAGCAATTAGCTGTTGTTGAGAGTTATTCGCAGATCGTTGTTGTCATCTAGTATAGTTCTATTTACATCACTTTTACCGGTGTCATTGAATTTGCTGAATTATCATTTCACAATCAACATCGGGAAACCCACCTGCAAAACTTTGGCAGTTGACCGAGGAACCCACTAGCAAAATTTTGACGCTGCAACTTGCTTGGTTGCCAAGTTGAAATACCTTGACAGCGGCATACACAAACGCGCATACAATGGGTCATCAAAATATGCGTTTTTGCGTTTACATATATGCAAAACTAGCTGTTCAGTTATCTCTTATATCACATACTTGAAACAGTATAAAAGAAATAAAAGTTTTTCTCGCTTTGCCAAAAACCAATAAGCGCGACACGCATCAATGTGTCTGTCGTATCCACGAGAAAGTAAACGACCAATTGGTTGGCATTCGAAAAAGTGGCGCACATACACTGAACAGACCGATAGGTACTAACTAGAGGTATATAGCCTAGGACTGAATGGCCTTGACAAAGGTGGTCCCAATTTGTGCCAGCATCGCAGTAACATCATTAACATGGTGTACCCACTATAAAATGTGATGTTTTGAAGTTTGTAATACACCGGTTTTCCGATTTTACATATCCTGTGCTGAGGGTTCCAATAGTGCTAGTTATAAGAAATGATGACAGCGTAAATCAAAAGGATGCGCGAAATGTAACAGAAACCCCCAGGAAAATAATGGAGAAAGTAATAACCTTGAGCATTATTCAGCTGATAAGCAGCTACTTTCCAAGTTTAATGGCTTTTAGGTATAGCACTCCCGAAGACAGAGGAAACATTTAAGTCATACGAGCGATCGTGCTGAAGGCACAATAAAAACAGCCTCGAACTTTTGTTTAGAACTGAGGAGGAAGAGGGAGGTATTTAGCTGAGAGGCAAAAATTTCCTGTCCCTGAAATTACCGAGATTACCAAGATCTTCCTGGTAATCAGTTTTAGGTATCCCTTGTTAGCGATGTTACTGTGATGCTCGCACATGCCGGATACAACTGTGCCAGGCTCTTCATGTACTTTTAAATCAAAGTGAGAGACAATAACTCGCCCAAAATTTGGCTTCCTTTCAGAATATTAAATAAGCATTTTCGACTATTCCATTCCTCTTTTCTCATGTCGCTGCACTTCGCCAGCAGTAATGCTATACTTTCCGACACTAATCAAGAAATAATCTAATCTGTAGTTTCCGAACAGCACACCAGTTGTGCTCTTCTAAACCGAAAATTGCTTGAACAACCAAAAATAAAAAAGCCTCGCGAGGCTTTTAGAATTTATCTGGACAGTATGCCTGATGTACTTCACGCCAATCACGCTGAAGAATTCCGAAATCTTTAACAAAGAAAAGTTAAAATTAAAACAATGAACAATGGAAGTACGATTTCTAAACAACCAGCAAAGAAAGCAAAACGTGATCCGTGATTTTCGACTATAACACAATAATCCAACTTTTGGGTACAAGATGATTAACCACGACTTTTTGGCGTTGTTTTTTACACATCAGGCGAATTCACCCCATAACAAATAGGCTTCAGTGAAAAAAGTACCAATCAGCTAGCACTTAATAAGAATTCGCGAATTTCTAAAACAAGCCAAATCATAATTCTTTCAACAACATTTAGGAAAATACTGCATAATTTTAACGTGATTATTATACAAATGAATACTAACAACTAATCCAAGTAGTATGAAAGCATTTGTGGATATGAAAGCTGGGTGTCACCAAGACTGTCTTTTTTCTCCGTCCCCCGCCCCTCCCCTTTCCCTTCCGATACGCCTCCCCCATTTTACCCCGTCATTTCACTCGACTAACACTGTGGTACTTACGATTTTACTAAGATTTGCCCACACATCGAATGCGTCTATTATATAACTTCTTATTCTAAATCGCCTATCACTCAAGCATACAATCTTATCAGGAACGATAATTTCTGAATTTATCGATCGTCTGTTTACCGCATATTCGTTCCTCGCAAACACCACAGGCTCTACTATACATGTTCAAACTGAACAAGCAATAATTACTAAATGGAGGTATACAGCCCAAGATCTAACAGCCTGTTGTAACTGCTCCCCCGACATGTGGAAGTATTCCAGTAAGAACACTAACAAGGAAAACCCATAACAATTGTCCGGAAGATCTTGGCATTTCTGATAGATGTAAATGCATTTTCCTAATCACTATACATTTATGCAACATAGCAAAATGCATCGAAATACCGATATGCAGTGATCACAATCTAATATCACATTTTCTATGTACTTACAGATATACAACAACAACATTTACTTTAGCTCATAAGTTAAACAAAGCTACGTAGAGCTGAACAGAACCTAAAACTCGAGGAAAATCTAATACATTTGTAAATTTTTACCTAAGTTTTCATAATTTGTCAAGTAAAATCCACAGCACTTTTCCTTTGAAAATTCCATGGTACCAAAAACCTTCCCATCCCAAAATTTTTTGCATTTTCATGAATTTTTAAGAAAATTATGCAAATATGAAGTATCTATATCATCGTCATCACAGTCAAACAGTGAAAGCTCAGAACGAGATGGTGATGCCTAACATACATCAAGAAGGTTCATTGATAAGTGATTTTTGTCAAAACAGTAGCTGAACTTGTATGTTTCTTTTTCAGGACTGCCGGAAGGCTAACTAGCCGGGGATGTACTAAATGATCGGAGCTTTTATAGAAAAGTGTCAACTGCACAGACTAAGAACAACAATATAAATTAACGGAAATTCAAAGTATTTCAAGTACAAAAAAGTCGTGATATATCACCGATCGAAAAATTTCGACCCCGGCATTACGAAAGCTAGGAAGCTGAAATTTCGAGTACGCAAAGTCTCCGGCTGTTTATATGGCTATAAGCATGAAATCAACTGGCATTTCTCCATTCTGCATCCTGACATATGAGCTCGAAGTTCGAATTCAGTGACTTTTTTAAAGGATAACCTTAATACCTCTCTTTTCTATGTAAAATATAAAACATTTTGCATGTATCGATGCTAACTTACCAGTAAAAACATAAAAGCAATGTGAACAGTAAGACATGCACCAAAATTCTAAGACAATCAAACAGCAAGAAAGACAAATAAAAGAAGTAATATAATACATTTCACACATCCAGGATCGTTTCCATATTAAGCACCCTTGTTACATAATACGGCATATGATCGCTGATAACAGCGCTGCACAGTTTTATTTCATTCAGTGAGCTGGAATGTACAAAAAATGATAAGAAATGTAATGGTTTTCGAAGAAAAAAAAAAGATAACGAAACTGTCAAAATCTAACAATTACAGCTAAACTTTGCAATGAAAAGAAATTTTTAGAAAATCAGTCCTTTGCAGTCTAGGAAAAATTTACTATAACATCGAAATGACTATACTGTATTATATTAAGTCACAAGTATTTTGGGAACAAGATAAAATGCCTAGAATACCACAATCTTCTGATGTCGTGAATGGGTTCTTCTCTCCAAAAACTGTCCTAGATCGAGAGGGGATCGAACTACTCCTCTTCACGTCCGGACGAAATGTGGAACCACTACACCACCGTTCCTGTCTTCCTGGTATAGCCTGGCAATACATCTACTGTGTATCTGCCTTTCAAGGCAACGTGTCCCTTTCTTTTCTTTTTCTTTGTGACGGCTTCTTGGCCGGCTTTTAGCGGGTATTCCGCGACATCCGGCGTCGGTTCAGATATCCCATTTAGTAATGTTACCAAATGCTTCCAGACGCCGCCGTACCTATATGCTAGCGCCTTCGATTCTGAGCTGCATACCACCATTTAGACGTCACCCATTCAAAGGCCGCTCCAGTAACAGTTTACTTTGTCATAGGCACCACTCACTAATACGCGAGGTCTACCAATTATCGGTGAACACGCCCTGCCCATCGAATTTTACTTTCATCCTGCACGCCGCTCATCTGATGAAAAGTTTGCGAGTTTATTTGGCTAGCTTCCAAATACCTTGCACCTGGTGGTTGTTAAAACCAAAACTACACAGACGCCTAGAAAGACAGGCTCCTGATAATCTTAGCACCCGTCTTCTTTTTTCTCCTGACCATCTTTGGATCGGATATATTCGTTGCCATACCAGGAAGCCATTGTGTGGCTCTTCACAAGTCGCAGTGAAAAATACCTGTACATTGGAGAAAACAACTAAATGTACCTGTGATGTATCCAACTTTTGGAGACCAATTTCTTCTTTTTATCTGTCACCCAAACATGCAGTAGACGTCCAGGAGGAAGAAGCTGAAAATACAAATGTTAGCAAAAAAAGAACCTTCCAAATTGAAATATTTCAGCCTTCCGGTTGTGAAGCTAATTCTGCGATTCTGCAGCAATGTAATTGATCATTCGCGTCTGACAAATACCAAGACCGCCCAGGAAATTAATGTGGGTACCCCATTTTAGTGATGCTATCGATATGCTCAGACAATTAGGGTAGCTAAGCCAGACCTTTCTATTCTGGGCTGCATACCTTCAGACAGTAATCACCGTCCATCCGGTGTATGTGCACCACCTCTTCGATGTGCGTGTGTACGTGTGTGCACGCGTGTGTGTGTACGTGTGTGCACGCGTGTGTGTGTAATAGATATTCCTTTTGTTTTTTTTTTTTTGATGGACTTGAAAAACACTCAAATATTTCAACTGAAAATCTAAATCCCGATATATAAGCCTTCTTCAGTTGCTTTTTTTTGCACTGTTTCCAGGAATTTCCGAAAACTTTTCTCGATCATTCGAACTCATGAGCTTCAATGTTAATTATATACCAGCTCCAACTAGGCCGGTATCTTCGCTTCTTAAACGCACTTCCCCAAATTTCTGATTTTAATTTTGCAGGATGGTCTACACCATACATGTAAAGCCAGTTTTCCTGCGCTTGTTAATGATGCTAATAAGATTAAGTCGCCGGGCAATGTTAAGTCAGGCCTCTTGATCTTGAAGTTCTATTTGTTCGAGTTTTAGAATTCGGTGTCACAAAACCCGAAAAAAAAACACATGGAAATGCAAAATATGCTGCTAAAACAAACTTTTATTCGTCTGCTTGCCCACCGTTCGGCTTGCTCACCAGTAGCTGCTGCTGCATCGGCACCGTTATCATCGTAAATCATCAGCGGATTATGAAAAACCAACGGAATGCGATCATTAATATTTACAACCACTGATTCCTCCGCTGGCTCCACTAAAACAATTGAGGAACTGTAAAACAGCCTGGTAAGCGAAGAGAAAAACTGAAATGATTGGACGAATCTTCAGAATAAAAAAAAGAATTGAAAATTAAAAAATCAAAACGTCACCCCCCCACAGCTCCCGCACTCACACACCCCCGCACTCACGCACCCCTGTACTCACACACCCTCGTACTCGCACACCCTCGTACCCCCTGCCCCCGTTCCTTCCCTCGCCCCTCCCCCTCCCGTCCCTTTCGCGACAATGGTATTATCATAGCGCGCTAAGGATCAGCTATGCCATGAACCTCCTTAAAATTGCTCAAGCAACAGGAACTTTCTCCCTCAAAACTGGGCTGACAAACAAGCAAAAATTTACTTACCCCGTCCAGGTTCCCAAGGCGACGAGAAGCATAAACGATAGAATCCACGCAGTAGAACTTTGTATTTTGGTGAATTTGTTAGAGCCAGTGATTTGATCACATCATACTTCAGCTTGCATAACGTCTGCAAAACGACACTAAAAGCGCTTATTTACACCGAATTCCTCGATGTTCCCATTTTTATACATATTCCTTTCTTCCCACTACTACTGTCTTGCCTCAGTATTATTACTGTTATTATTATGATTACGATTGCGGCTATTATCATTATTACTACTATAAGAGTAATAGTAATAACCACTGTTATTATTATTGTTGTTGTATTATTGTTGTTATGATTAGCTTCACCAACTGGTAGCTTCTTTAATTGTTTTGGCCAGTACTGAATTTGTTATTATTATCACTGTTACTATTATCGTTATCATTATTAACATTATTATTATTGCTATTATCACTATGTCTATTTCTCTTTTTTATTGCTTCTTTAATTTTGTTTCCTGTTATTACCCATTACGTTTTCCACTAATTTCCATTGTACTTAACACCGTTTAACAAGAATCAGAGGAAGGATTGACTGGACCGTCTCAGAATTCGCTTTGAAATCCACCAGGATCGAAATTTTAAAAATATTCTCTAAGAATGTCTCAAAAAATGATTAAAAAAATACTTGGAATGAAAGACGTGGTACGATATCGTCGCCGATAAAGACGCTGAATACATATTTTTCGGTTTCTTTCAGACCATTTTCACTAATAACACATCCGGGCGGGCAGAATGCATAACAACGAATCGAAGGGAACGTCTGCCTAAAATATCACTATCTGTTGCTGAATTTTTTCCATATCTACCAAATCGGAAATGTTTAATTTGTTGTTGGAAAAACACCTGATTTATCAAAATTTGCTTCAAAGGTGGAGAGGGAAGCAAAGAGTCATGAGCAGGAAAAAACAAGCGTTAAAAATTTACAAGTAAATTTGAATACAAACTTTAAAAGTAGAGTTAGCAATGTAGCAACACCAGCACCAAGTGAATGTCCACAAACAACAATCGTATATTCTGGATGTTTCATTTTCAGGCCCTCCAAAACACGATTTGCATGCAGCATTTCCAGTACATATCGTGCACTACGCAACATACCACGATGCACACGTACTTCCTGAAAAATTAATGCCAGTAATGCAAATTTTCCCCATACATCAGTCGCTGTGGAGAGCTGAAACACCCGGAATGGACTTGACTCCAAGTGCCAGCAAGCGCCAACCAAAAGTAATAATGCATGGCAAGGCTTTCGATGACTTCCTTTCTCAACGATTGCCCAGAAGCAAGTTGATGACGGTTTTGTCTCCCGAGGCAGCTCCTGACAAAGTGCCAAGCGGTGTCGACAAGCGACACCACCAAACAGCGTTAGCAGAAAAGCTAGAGTAACGGCCGAGCCAAACCGAGTTTTAATAGATGCCCAATTTGTTGAGATGTTCTCTTTCTAGAAAATAGCCGAACAATCAGTTTCTGAGCATCACTTTCTTCTCGGAAATCGACTTTCAATTGAAATGAACCAAAAAAATCGTAAAAAAACTGGATTGGTTGCCTCCAGCAAAAAAACCGAGTCCCCGATCAGATGACAGTAAATTGGTACTAGCCTGGTATTTCTGCACGACAGTTATGGTAATTCCTACTGTGTCACAAAAAAAATTACATAGTCTCATTTTTTTTCCCACAAAGTTTATTGTTAAGCAAGCACCACTAAGTGTTAGGAGAAGCAGCACCGATCAAAGGAACTGGAAAACTGCCAACTGCAAATAGATAGGAAAGCAAGTTATAAAAGCATGGCTGTATTCAAGAAAAATGCCAGTGAGATTAAAGGATTCAAGAAACATCCGATAAGAGAGAGTTACCAGAATCTGACCGGTAAGGGGAACGTTTAGAAGAGTTACATCAACAGCAAGAGGCATGGATTTTAGTGGCTCCACTCAGAGTGTACCTACCTTGTCTGGTGCATCAAGCTTTTCATCTCGCCGAAGGATCGGATCTTGGTCAACGTCCACCGAAAATGCTTCATCATCCAGTGAAAGATCATTGACTGCATCCATCATGGAAGCAGTACCACGTATTGTTATCACGATACTTTTCGATTTCGCATCCTCAAGCACTATAAATGGTACCTGAAATAAACTGCAAAAATTCTCAACTGCATATTTCGGATCAAAAGACCGCATCTCAGCAAGTCGGGGATTTCCGCTTACAGTACCTGTCACAAAGCATTTTTTGTTGGTGTTTCAAATTCTAATTTTTACTAAAACTTTTAAAACCAGATTTGAATTTTTCGGCAACAAAAAAGGCTTGTTTTCAAATTCAAGCCGATATGATCTTTGTTACCTAAGATTATAAACGTATAATGATAATTATTACCGAACAAAACGGATGGAAAAAACGAGGGGGAAAGAGTGTCAAAATTAATAAATGTGAAGAAGCTGACAACGCTAATGGCTGTTTAGAGCCTACCCTTCATTTCCTTCCTTCTTTTTCTATTCTTTTATATTTTAGTATTTTCATCTATTTGTAATTATTATGTGTGTAATAAATATTTCAACCCATCACCAGTCATAGGCATAGCTATATGGTATGCAACAAACTTCTTATCTCGATGGATTTGTTTTATAACAATTTCATGCCTGTTTTTGCATTATTAAATGAATCTTATTATGAAAATTTTCTTTGT